GAGATTTTTGGAGTACATGCATCGAAGAAGACTTAAGTAGAATAAATTGACCACGTCTGACGCTGTCACAGATGGCCGCATGTATTGCGATTTGCGGAAAGGAAGTCGCGGTTCGAATCCCGCCCTTTCGGAATTTTCGAGGAGCGTCTAGGAAACTAAGTAAGTAATATTACAGGTTCTTACGGCTCCAGGACGAGTCTCGTAACATTAAGTATTTAAAAACTATAAGTTTCTTACGAGCCCTTCCTCGAAAATCTCCCGAAGAGGACTCCTCCCGGCGAGTCGCGCGCGTCTGAACGTCTTCGAAAAGCAAAGCATGGAGGCTCCCATCGGCGTTTGCCAACAAGTTACCTGATTATAGGAAGAATCATAAAATCCTTCATGCATCACCACTGACCTCCCAATAGCAGAGCAACGGGCGGCTCGGAGCGTCCCGGAGCACGGCCAGCCTCAACGGAACCTTCCGCTTGTTAGTCTCATTGGCTAGCCATGCAGCCACCAGGCAACGAAGGCCCAAAACGGTAAAGGTTCAATGAATTCAACAAGTGTTACGACATTTCACTGGTTAAAAATCGCCCTCCTTTGTTACATTTGTAAATCTTAATCTATGATCATTCTTAAATATTATATTTTCAATTTACAAGTTCGTATCACAAGGAGGGCATATTTTTACCAAGTTAAAACATGCTGCATAACAACCTTGTTGACTTCATATAGCAATATTTCCAGATTGCGTCTGCCCTGCGTGCTCATGGCTACACTGAACCTAACCAAAACGATATCTGTTAGGCTGCCCGGCTCCGGCGCTCCGCCCAGCCCGCCCCCGTCTGCCTCTGCTTGGATGTCCCAGTGTCATCCTGTAGCGGCTTTTAGATGATTGTCTGTAAAATCAGGATAACTTCCTGCAAAAAACGCCCCCCGATGGACCTCATCGATTGCTTTTCGAAGAAAAATCAACGCGCGCCGAACTCCCCTCAGCGGAGAACCCTCTCGTATCCCTGGGAAAGCCCCGTAATCAACTTATAAGTTTTACAATAAACTGTATAACATACGAGACGTTCCGAGGAGCAACGTAACGAAACTTTAATAGTAATTATTACGTTAAATTTCGTTACGAGGCTCCACGGAATCTCTCGAAAAGGGCGGGATTCGAACCCGCGACCTTCCTCTTCCGCCAATCGCAAGCATCGCACGCCCCATCGTGACACGCTCCGGATTCCCTTATCTTACTGTC